GTATTTTCTGGACTATAAGTCACAGTTTTTTTCATAGTTTGGCCCGGGATGCGACTTATACTCCGAAGCGATTTATTTGTAAAATTATGAACACATTATTACGTCATATCACATGTTATTTTCACACTAAACCACAAGAGGGCGCTCTAGGCCTGTGTTGATCATGTTTGTGGTAGAAGCTACCTCTGGAGTTAGCGGAGTTGTCCGAAGATGAAAATTTAGTGATTTGGAGTGACACAGATAGTTTGGTAAACTTGTTAGCATGTTATTTATACTATAGTCATCTGAATAACTCTTAATATGTTATGTTAACCAGGCACGTTCTCAGTTCGTTATGTGTCATGTAACATTAGCATACCATACAATCATTCAGCCTGTTGTTGCCTCTATTCTATTTTTATTTTAAATTGCCTTTCAAGATGACATGTCTGTTCTTTGTGTTGGATTTTATCAAATAAATTTCCCCCCAAAATGCTACTTGTAGTCCGGTGCGACTTATATGGTTTTTCTGTTTTATGATGTATTTTATGGCTGGTGCGACTTATACTCCGGAGCAACTTATAGTCCGGAAAATACAGTAAATAAACATAAAAGTAAAGATTGTACATAGTAACATTAACTAACAACAAAATATATAGTGGTAAAGAACATAAAAGATTAGTCGCTATGAATATTCGCCATTTAAAACAGCCTAAAATAATAAAAATGTCAAGAAATTTGTAAAATTTTGAAATCAAATGCTACAATATAATAAATAACTTCGCCTGATGTTAGGCTGAGTACCAGTGCTTATAATGACTTTATTGACATTTTCTCTAGGGACTCCTAGTGGACATTTCTTTCCCTTATGCTATTATTTCTATGTGTTGTGTGTTCCATGAAAGCTGAAGAAAGGTCATGCATCTTCGTGTTTCTGTGATGTAAAAGGTGGTAGTGTATCAGGCTGTCAGACTCAGACTGAGAGTCAGCCATGAGTGTGCACGGCGGTGGTTTGGTTTCGCAGCGGCGTGGGGTGAACTCAGAGGTGCCGAGACAGGCTCTGATTCCCGGTATCGCCGACTTCAAACCTCCCCTGTGATACCACAGTAAAACGGCGGCACCGTATTGTATCAGACCCCGAAACTGTGCTGAGTTATGTCTCACCTGTTAGATGAACAGTTTGACATTTTTATCAAATGTGTAGGATTAGTGCAGTTTTGTTTTTTTTAATAGGTTTTTGGTTGTGATGAGGAGAATTTTTTAAGAGGAATATATTTTGACTGAAATTTTTACTGTGTTAAAATGACTTATTTCCTTAAGTGCAATATTTTTTTTCTGTTTCCAGTAAAATTAATGAATATTTGAAAAATCTTCCATTATAATAAATAATGCCTCACAAGCCTCAAAATATAAACCTTATCCAATGTCGTTATTTATATCTTACTCATTAAGAATGAAAATGTCTTTTAAAAATCAGAGTTTTTAAAATTGAAATCATTTGTGTTTTACACAGCGCCACATTACTATCCGAAATCATAGAAAAAGAAAAAAGCTTTATTTGTTTACCTTTCAAATAAATGCTCAAATGAATCCATTAAGTAGCATTTTTACACAAATGCAAAGGTAAGCTCATATTGACTAGTCCTATAAATCGGTCTCTATAACTTTATTAATAACATTTCATTAGGTGTTTCAGTAACTTATAACCATTTGCTCCCTATACTATTAAACTTTCAAGTAGCTTTATATCTTGAAAGATGTGCTTTCAAGATTTAAATCTAAACTATTCTTGCTAATTGGATAAGAAAATAGATTAAGCCTAAATATAAGTTGTTTTACTACTGATTTAACAATCACTTGTCAGTAATGCTTGCATGCAGTTTTAATGTATTTGTTTTTGTGAAATCAAAACATATACTAAGCAAATGTGTTATTTGTGTTTGTTAAGAAATTTATTTATTGTGAATAAACTAAATCATTTTAACTCTTCAACACAAAGTTGAATGGTTTCTGCAGGAATGATTGTTAATATGCACTACGGTTGATGTGGTTTTGTGATTCTGTACTATAGTCATAAATTAACCACTAATCAAGGCTTTGCTGTTTAAGATATGTTTAATGTAAAACTATTTTTCGCTGGAGTCATCAATGCACAGTTTGGTCGAGTTTCTTTCAGGAAAAACACGAACGTTGTTACTTGCTGATGTACAGAGAAAACCACAAATGCTGCGCTCAAAGATGCTGTACCGTGGTGGTGACGTTAACTATCAGTGTGACCGAAAAAACTCAATCAACGCTTTAGACAAACATGTCAGTTGTACGGCTAATTTAATGAAAGTGAAGTATTTGCTTGTTTATCTAAAGTAAGTGAACTAGACTTTTTCTCAGATATCCGTCTTTAAAGTCTGAGGCAGATTTACAGTTGAAACTTGATATTTACGTACTTTGTGTTAAAGGACTGACAACATTTTTCCCTCCCTTAATTAAATTAAATGTTTTAGGTCAATAATGATGACCAAATATAATTCTATTTCCTAAATGCCAAAATAATGAAAGAGTTCTTTTTTTTCCATTTGGATCCAGATGTTTACATTAATTTTTGTTAGTATTTGGTGAGGTAAGCTTTTAAACTTTTTGGTTCTTCTTCATTGGCTTCTTACAGCAGTTTGCTCCTGACAGAAGTGCTGTCGTTGAAGCAGTGTTGTACTCCCTGATTGCACGTTTTCAGCTGTGCTGTCATATTTTCTATGTGGTTCCAGATTGGGTCTTTGTCGTGACCAATCCAAGACTTTGTTGTCCTTCTGCTGTTTTGAATGTAATTTAGCGGTACACTTAGAGTCATTGTCCATTTGGAAAACCAATTTGTCCTCAAGCTTTAAGCTTTGGTTTGATGCCTTGATGTTGCTTCAACATTTCTACATCAGGTTATGCCATCTATTTTTTTTGAAAATGCAGCAGTTCTTTCTCCTGTAATTTAATACTGCCATGAAGTCTTGATTTCCTTAAAAGTCTTTATGCATGATTGTAATTGTTTGAGCCGATGAACGTAGACCAACTTCAGGCATCTGGAAGTTGTACCCAATGGTGAACCAGACTAGTTGAGGTCAACAGTTCTTTTCTTAATATGTTTACATATTTTTCCCTAAATCATCACCTGAATAAGCAGTGTTTATGGTGTTTCCTTCAGTAGTTTACCTGAATTTGTAGAAAAAAATCAAAATAGATGTCGTCATTCTGGGATTTCTCCTATAGAAATATCTTACTGAAATAAAATAGGGGAAATGATGTGATTTTATGAGTTAAGAAGAAAAAACTGAAATGCTTATATGGAGTAGGTTAAAACTTGGTTTCAACTGTCTATATTTACTTAATATATTGAAGGTCAATGTAGAGCAAAAATGGTAAATGGTGTTGTATTAGTGACTAGCTACTATTTTTGTTGCACATTATTCCTCTTGTTTATTTGTTTTTTTATTTTTGTTTCTTATTTTTCCACCTAAAGTGTTCTTAGTTCAACATGGAATAATTTTTACTTGAATAAATAAAGATTTTCTAATTCAGTCCTAAATTTAATGAGTGACCATTGCCATTACTGCAATCAAATTAGCTGCTAATTAATGATTTATTTTTTGTTTTAAATACTTTGACTTTAATGCTATCATTTCCATGGAGTCATCAAAACAGTTTTATTGTGTTTCTTAAGAAAATAAATTTTAAAAAATATAAAAACAACAATGATGGCCGATGAAATCAGCAGCGATGCATTTTGTCAAAATGCTGCACAGTGATGGTATCAGTAGCCGTGAACCTTTTGTTCTCGGATAATCTGTTAGATAAAAACATAGTCGTGCTAATAATTAGAGAAATCTTAGGGTTATTTTGTCATTTCTGTTCAAAATTAAATAAACCGGACTCTATAAATGTATAAACAAAGATGGAGTTCGTTTATAGTTACATTGATAAAACTAAATGTAAGGCTAATGCTGAACAAGAATTTTAACATCTAGCCAGACACTGGAATAGTTTCTCTACAGAATTTAAGTCTTTTTCTTCGACTAATATACACCATTCTTTAAATATCTAATCAATATTAAAATACTTTTATAAAAACGCAGTCATGTCATCCTATTTTTATCTACACAGTACAAAACTATTAATGTAAAGAGAAAACTATCATGCTTTTAGTAAAAATAGAATATTGGTATTGCAGCCTTTGTTCAAAGCAAATGTGACTATAAACTTGATAACACGATTTTAATCCAATAGGTATTTGTGGTGAAAACTGGAACTTTTTCCTTCTAATACCTTTATAATTATAAAATAATGATATAATTAATGTCTTTACTGGCTGACAAGAGGAAAACCACAAAGGCTTTCTTCCCCCAAAGGTGCAGCACCATGACAGCAATGCAGTCCTTGTTTGTTTTATCGTTCTCAAAAGTTCAAACCAAACATGCTAGTTGTAGACTTTACCAAACTTCAGCTCATGTAAATCAGAATTTATGTCCAAACAGAAGACCCCCTCATTTCTAAAGGATTAAACGTGACTGGAGTCATCACAAGCTTTCACTTACAGATGCAGTTTAGTCCGAGTTCAGTTCCTGTAATTTCTGAATTTATGTGGTTTATTCAGAGCTGATGTCAGCCATAACTCTTACTGAAACCTCCAGTCGTTTAAATTTTCATCTATGGTCATAGCAAAGCAGAATTAGTCAAACTTACCCAAATGTGAAGTAGTTTTACATAAATCATTTGAGAGCCACTGCCAGGTGTTTCAAACACTTTAACGCCATAGAAAGTGAGCTATGCATGTATCAGTGTAGTAAAACACACACCAAGATAACCTCTAAATCTTAGGTTGGTGAGAATGAAGACACGCTTCCCCTCAACATCTGTGACACAGTTTCACACACCTGTATAAGCTCAAAAACATTTTCTGATATTATCTTTGGCTTAGATAAAAAGACAACTCAAAAGTGGTGTTGCAAAAAAGAGCAAAAGTGTACCCAAGAGTCAGCACAGACCAGTTTACTCATTTCTTTAATTTGTTTCCACAAACTTCAGTTACATGTGTCCAAATTCAGAAATGTTTTCCAGGAGTGAAAAATAAAGAGCTGGAGCATTCACTAAAACACTGGTTTAGAAACAAAAATTCAATGAAAGGAATGTTAAAAACAATTAAAATACAGTGGAATGTCTGACATCTGAACATTGTGTCAACATTAAAAAGCATTTTGTTTGTGAACAAAAGACATTTTTAAAAAGCTGAAACTGCCCATTGCTTTCCTCCAAACACATTCTGACCAAACTAATTATTTGTTATGGTACCAAAATACAATTCTTGATTTTTGAACATTTTTTTATAATGTTTTATCCAACTCCTAAAATTCAGCATTGCTGACTTCAGCTTCTACAAAATAAATCTGATCTGGAGACAACATAGCTGAAGGTTTGGCGCCATCTTCAGCCTGTAAAGGGGAAATGCAGCATCACTGCTTTTTCAGGTCCTAGAGTGAATTTCTCCAGGCTGACAGGCGAATCGTCTGCCAGATTGGGATCCGTCGACATCTTCACGTCGGCTGTGTCTGGCAAAGTTACACCTTCTGCAGGAGCAAAAACCAAAAGAAAAAAAGTTTTATTTAACTAGTATTACACAACGAGAAAAAGAAGGAATCTGACTTTCATCTTGATTTTGACTTTTGAGGGGTTAGACATTTTAAAGTGATTTTTTTTTAGGGAATGGGGGGGTCAGAATCTTAAGGAAGAAAAGTCAAAATTTTGACGTGAAAAAAGTCAGAATATCAAGTACAAATTTTATAAACTCAATTTTAAGACTAAAATCCAGATTTTTTTTCTCCAGTGGCTCCAATCCTCTTCCCTACAATTTACATGACTGATTTTCTGCATATTACTTGACCAGCAGCTCACCTGTAGCAGGAAGTGTCATTTTTAGTTCTACTGGTTTCTCTCCCCAGTTGACAGCGGTTATGTATCTTTCGCTCTGGTCCCACACACGAACGAAGGCGAGGGACGTGTCAGAGGCGTTGAACGGATAATAGTCGCCGTGAAGCAGCGAGCGCTCCTTGCCCCGGAGGTCACTGAGGGATTTGAACCACATCCAGCTTTCCGTCTGGTTAGCCTGCACACCAGAGATGTAAGGATGTTTAAAACAAGTAGCTACTTACAGACAGCAAATTAATGTCCCTTAAAAACTAAAAAAATGTCATGACTGACTGAACACTTACATCCATGTCCCAAACCATCTTGGGCCATTCAGAACCCTGAAATGTGGAAGTGAAAGGTTGAGTATGAAAATAAATTCAGCTTTTATACAGATTTCCTGAACGCCATTTTTAGGAATTTGGATTTTTCTTTTAAATTACATGTTGAATCCTAAGATTTGATGCATGTCATAAATGATAAAGGATTTTATGTTTGATCAGTCGAGGAAAGTTGTTTGAACATTTCAACACATTGTCAGGTTGGGGCTTACGTTTGGTTTAAGGCCAAGTTCATCTCCGTAGGTGAACACCGGAGTTCCAGGTAAAGTGAAGAGCAGCAGCTGGTAGAGACGCTGCAGGTCTGACGACGTCGCTGCTTCAGACAGAGGCTTCAGTTCACTGGCTCCAAGACCCCAGCCCACCCGGCTCTGCTGAGAGTAGAGGACGTCCACAGCTTTGATCCGCTCCACGCCTGAAAATCCACAGGAAAAAAACCAAAATGCATCAGAACTCCAAGCAAACAGAGAAACAGTTGTTGGCTCAGACAGGCTAAACCCACCGTTGTCATTAGATTCGAGGAGGTTGGGCAGAATAATATCCACACCGGTGGTGTTGAGCAGGTGGGCCACCTCGTCTGCTTGAGGTTCTTGTACTGCAGCCATTAGTGCCCTGAGAGGAAGAATGCTAGGTCAGAAACTAAACGGGAAAAACAAGGCAGAGCTTTTCACTGCAGCTGCAACGCCACAAATAAATCAGGCCTCAGCAAAAAGTAAATTAATTCCATGAGCTCATTTGTTTTTCTCTACCAAAAAACTAGAAGACTAGACTGGTGTTTTAGTCCATCCCCTTTTTTGAATAACTATAATTACAGAAACTTCATAACTAATTTTCTTTAATGTTTGTTTTGTTTATTTAGGATATTTAAAGTATCTTCCAGTTCCAGTGTTAATTACAATTTTAAGTTTATGAATTCTTGAAAACGCGTTCTTGCATCATTTACCATTATCATATTACTTGAAGATGGTCTCAAAACAATATTATTTAATCACAATGACTTCTGGGACAGTTTATCGTCCAACAAAATTTGTTTTCATGACAGGCATAGCTGCAAAAATTCAGTTAATGAGTCAAGGACCTCAAGTTTAAAAATGTCTCAAGGCAAAATATCTCCCTTGAAGCTTTGTGAAGTTATGCTGTATCATTTATAACACTGTTGATTATTTGTGTTGCACAACGCTGTCACTTCTGCCACAAATATTTAGAGGGGAGACAGGAAGGCACAGAAAGAAACAAATAGACAGGTGGTTATAAACAAGTGACTTTTTTTTTTTTAACTTATCTGATCGTCAGTGAAGAATCTGTACAAGGAAATGAGTTTAAGCTAGCTTATCTACTTTATTATCAAAGAAATGGTTAAGATGCATCTATTCTATAAACAAAACATGTTTATACTTTAAACTCAAGACTGAATGTTTAATTAAAGATGGTTTCATTAATGTCTTGGTTATTTTTAATTTTTTAAAAGTTAGGCATTTTTATTTTTCAGCCATTTTTACACTTTTTAAAAATGTTTATTTATCCTTCAAACTTGACCAATGCAATGCAAAGTTCTATTTAAATGAAAATGTAACATTTTCTCTTTCATCTATTCATCTTACCAGCATAAAGATTACTAGAATAATTAACAGGTTTTGACTCAATGCAGTCAGTGGATTCCTTAACTCAAACTAAATTAGAAAATCAAACAAGGCAAATAACTAGAATTAAACTTGAATACTTCCTGAAAATTCAGATTGTATTTCTGATTTGAAACTGAAGAGATGGTCGAGTTAAAACAAGATTGTGATTTTAAAAGGTTGTGATAAAACTCCACCACCAGGGGTCACTCTACCATGACAGGATAAAAGACTCATCTACTCGCTTTCTTGCACGTTTCTCCACTTACTACTTCACACTGGAATGTCTTTGCAACAAATCAGTCTAATTGGTTATTTTTCCATGAGTTTGATCTCAAATATCAGCTGACAAATTATCTATTCTACTAGTTTCTCACAGGTCAGAAAACAGAAACAGTCACCTCCGTTTGTCCATAGTGTGGTTGCCCTGGACGACGGTCCTCAGCGTTTGCCACTCTTCGAATCCGGAGGCAAACTTTAGGTCTGACACCTTGATGCCATCGACACCCAGCTTTATCCAGTACTCTGCTGCCTCCTGGAGGAGAGCAGGAATACATCAGGTTGGTACAGAGCCACTGAAGGAACCGTGTGAAATTCAGACAAATGTAAACACTGGCTCACCCTGACTTTCTCCACCATCTCATCGTCCATGCCAGAAAACCATGGCTTAGCTCCCTCATAGTTTGGAGTCAGGTCAATGACCACAGAAATACCTTAAAAAGAAACAGGAAAGCACCAAACTAAATAAAAGTCACTGAACAGTTTTAATTTTGAGCTTTTAAATAAAATAAACTACCTTTCTTTTTAGCCTTCAGCAGCACAGCCTCCAACTCTTCTACCTTTCCATGGTCTATGCGGATCTTTTTAAGGTCCAATGTGCTTGGCTGGTCCTTCTGGACGACGTGAAGTGGGCCAAGAACCAGACCTTTGACCTTTAAGTGGTTCAGCTGGTCCAACTTCCCCTCAAGATCTGGCAGAGGACAGAATACAGGGTCGTAAAATAAATCCTCAGTATGAATTTCACACCGAGTCTGGAAAACCTAAGGCACATATTTGACAAAGTTTGTAGACTTTTCCCACAGGGAAATTCAGTCAGTTTGAAGGCAAGTTTTCAAAATTTTAGCACAAAAGAGGAAAAAAAAAAAACAACAGTTTCAAGTCACCATTTCATGACATTACTGTAGATTAGATCTGGACAGGATGGCTGAAAAATGTGTGAAATACAAGCATTTCATATCAGTTGATGGATAAATATTTTTGTTTTTAATATCTGAAATGCTACCAAACGGGTGACGCGACCTTTCCTGTTATACCACAGTTTTCACTCTGTGTTATTTTTAAGCAGTGAGGAACAAAGTGCTGCATTGGTTACTCAGCAGGTCGTTACTAGGTGACCACAGAGTTATCAGTTTATGGCACCAATCTTGTTTAGCTTGTAGTGAGAGACTGAGGCTAAAGGTTTTCCTCTGCTTATGTCCCCCATAATGCTTTACATTTCATTTATTGACATTTATCACGTCAGTAAATCATGTTATGTCTATTGCGATATATATTGTGATTTATTGCGCATAATAAAGTATACATTTTTGAAAATTTCTTTCACACTCCTGACTGGTACAACAACAAAACACTAATTTAATGAAACATCCCCCAACTTCAATAACTTTGTTAATCATAATGTCCCTTTGGGATCAGTAGGGTATTTTTTAATTTGAAAACAGATAAGAATCTTTGTTTCAATTTCAGAGAGGTACAGTAATTTGTGGAGATCTGAAGGACACACTTTAGGAGAAACAAAAAAAAAAAAAAAAAAAGTGTGAAAACCACATTGACCCAAGACAGGAGTTGTGAACAACCACATCCACTCCCTGTGCCAGCCATGTGAAGTCTGAGCACAAGCCGGGTCTCTATGCGAGAACAATAAAGTCACATGTGGTTTCTGGAATTCCTCCCAAAGCCTGCTGGAAATCAGAGTGTCCCCCCCACTAATTTGTAGCAAGTGCAGGACATTCTGTCCTTTTGACCCGTCTCCAAAAAATTGGAGCAGCTTGAAGCATTTTAATGAATGCATTAAAACAAAAAGCTAGTTAAAGGTAACTCAGCACGACTTTAAATCTGAATGAGACATGAAAGTAGTGACTCAGTCGTGTTCTACGTCCCTTTGGCCTTTAGTCTCACACTCCCAGCCAAGTCAGCAGTTTCTTATCCAACTAAGCAAAACTTCGTCACAAGACTTTGCTCATGTGAATCAGCTGGAACATTTAAGAAAAGGGACTTCAAGGGAAAAAAGAAAAAAAAAAGCAACTAAAAAGCACATTTAATTGCTAGAAATCACATTTCTAGTTTTTGTACAAAATGAATCTTATTTAATAAAGATTAAAATTTTATAAAAGGATTAAAAAAAAGAAGAGATGTAGTCTTTAAATTATTTTAAAGACTACATTTTAAATTTTCTATTTTAAATTTGTTCCAGCCGAGGTAACAAGTTATCCGTTTGTTCAACAGAAAAATTGGTTCCCTCATAATTGAATAATAAATTTGTTCACTTGAGCAAATCATTCAGTAATATTAAGATTTGTGTGATTTTCATCCAGAATGCTTACTACACTTAGCCAAATAAAATAAAAGCTGATTTGGGTTCAGAAAAGTCAGCTTTTCAGTAAGATGTCTCTGGATAAACGAGGGGCTTGGGACTGAAGAAACTTTGAGTAAATGCAACACGTTCAATTGTTAGAAAGTTATATTGGTTAATTACAAATGAAAAGTCTCCATTTGCATGAACCACTCTTGCAGTTGGGGGTCGCATAAAATCAGCACCCCTGATTTAAGGGAAAGTCTTATTTTTGTGCAGAACATTAACACACTAATCAAAATTAAAGATTTTTTTTCTAATCTCCAAAAATGTTTTACCTTTCAGTCCATTGGAGAAAGCAGAAGGGCTGGGGATCTGGTACAGAGGCCCTTCATTCCACCAGTGCATCTCAGGGATGGGTTTGCAGCGAGGAGCCTGGACGATTATCACTATGGAGCCGGCCAGCATGCCGACCCAGCCCAGCCAGAACAGAACCAGCAGCACCCAGCGAGTTCGCACCCACCTACATGTCGAAACATACATGTAAAGTTTGGGGAATGTTTAAATAATGACCTACAGATACAGATGGATCATGACCGAGTTGCATTTTGTCGGCTCTTACCCCGGGGTGCCAGCCACCTTCATCAGCTCGTCCTTGGAGAGGCCGGTGAACGTTACATCCTCATCAGGAATCTTCAGCTTCACGCTGCCGTTCTTCTCTCCACCAACAGAGGGACAGTCTCCGGCCATAGGGTGCTTCTCATGCTCCACCGTGTTCAGCTTCACCTCCTCCAAGCCGATCTCTGTGTCCTTGCTCATGGTTGGATCTGATTGATTGACAATGAGGGAAACAGGCCTGTCAAGTTGGTTCATGGTCCCCTCTACAGCATTTGAGAAGGTGCAACTGAATATTTCATTTGGATCATTTCCAGTTTACTCAGGTTTCACATTAAAAAGTGAACAGTAGGATAGGGGAGGAAAGTAAACGTTGATAAAGGCTTCTAAATTGTATAAAGAACAGCAAATTAGACAAAAAGAATATTTTAATATGCATAAAAAATTTTAACATTTTAAAATGTCATAAAGACATAAGGTACCAATAAATACATTTAAATAGCTCTACATATATTTAACATAAAATTAATCGAAGATAGAAGTTGCAATAATATTAATGTGATTTTAAAATTTTGATCAACAATTGATATTTAGTTGTTGTTTTTTTTTATCGTTGTAGTTTTGGACCGCCATTCAATTGCTAAAGATTAGAATTTTATTTCCGCGTTGTCTGATGAAATAGACTCTCAGAGTTGCATGCTAAGCGAAATTGGTCAAATTTCACAATAAAAGACCAAGACATTTTTTTTATTCATTTAAAAATATAAATAAAATTCTAAAACGCACCATACGATACCTCATTTATCTAGTGAATGAAAACAATATTAATTCACGAAACTCCTCATGAGCGTTGAAGTCTAAAATAGTCAAACTAAAAAAAAATTCGTGCGTTTTACTTTGTTGAACCGGAAGTGGCTCCAACCAGCATTTAACAGGTTTATTCACTTTAATCGCTTCTGTACTACAAATACAGATTAACAGGAAAAAAAGTGAAAACCACTTTATGTTTTGTATTGACAAATCAAAGAAGAAATTAGACCAAAAAAAACCCTAACTAAAATAATTGTAATATTCCAGCTTTTGTCGTCTTTAAGGGTGAAATCCACCTATGCCAGACTTCAGTCCACGTAGTAAAACCTTCAATTTCCTCTCGAGACCCCGTGACATTATATCTAAAATATAAGCCAACTACACGGTTCTCAGGCAAGAGAAAAACCCCACTAAATAAATTTAGGATTACCTGTTAAAAGCGGTAAAATGTCCGTCGAGTTCAATATTCCCAGTTTGAATGGCGTCTCCTCCCGATCTCAGTTCAACGCCGGTTGGAGTGTATTTGTAGCCTGTTATTAGCCCCGCCCACTCAGGATTCAACCAATCGTTTTGCTTCACTTTATCTCTCTCTGTCCTCTCTCTCTTCGGCCACGAGGACAAATATGGCACATTTTTACAAAACTAACATGCAGAATATAGTTTTTTTTGCCTCCACGTCGTTACAGTCAAATGTGATGTGATTGTAGTTAGTTTTTAATCCTCACTTTTGTAAAAAAAAAAAAAAAAAAAAAGAAAGAAAGAACAAAATGGTCTTTTTGAGGATATGTTTAATCCAAATGTTCCTCAACTCTGAAATAGAGAAATCAGTTTAATTGGGCATATCATTGATTATATCACTAGTGCAATTAGCCGTGATGATTGATTCAGACATCAAACCATTGATCTTCAAATGACTGACCTGTCTGTTTCTCACAGGTCTAATTAAATCATCATCTGTGCTAAAATGCTCCCATCTTTTGTGAGGCACAGCTGACGTGAAAAGAATGTTTTCTCAAACAAGAATCCAGTTTTGTGTAATCTATTAACCTTATCGACAAGATCAGTGAATAAACTAAGGTTTCCATCCCCAACTTTAAAGCAGAATTACATATTTAGATGGCATAGTTAAAGTCTAAACCTGAATGTAATGGGGAATCCTAGACTCATTGAGCTCAAACTTCTTTGCAGAGGTAAACAGGTAAAATAAAAATGTATTAATGTGAAAATACTTTCACCTATAAGTCCCATTAAATGTGCTTTATGAAATAATAAAAAGATTTCTTTGGATACAAATCAAGTTCAATACTTGCAAGGCACTGATCGCAAATGAAGATTAGGAAATGTAACGGGGGATTCTTTGTTTTTACAGACGCTGTAGGCTTATGTAAACCTGCCATGTTCTCTATTTTTAGTTTATTTTCCTGCCTCCTAACAATGGATAGGATTTACACAGACTTTTCTCGGTAAAGGCATAAAAACAGCTCTTTGATCTCAAAGGTCTGAGTTTCACCTTGCTGTTGTTTTGTTTCTCTGTGAACCCCTTGAATTTGATCTGATTTCTGCTGATGACTGAAGTCATAATGTCGCCTGTATTACATTATAGGTAATTTAAACGATCTGATCTGAAAAACAACATCCTCCTCCTGTGGCTGCTGTTGGTCTGAAACATTTCCCAGCTGCTGCTGACCTTAACCGAACAACATAGTTCAACAGTTTATTCTGTGAACAACATAGTCCTCAGAATAAACCTCCCAACAGTTTCATGCTCACAATCCATTGGGGCCTCCATGCTATTTGCTTTGTTCACAATACAAGGTTGTTGCCTGAATATTTGCAGAGCTTCATTATCTGCAAAAATAACTTTTAACTCAACAATCATTTGAATTACTACCATCAGGTTTAAGGTTTGTAGATGAGAAACAGACGGGGTTTTTTCCAGTTTTTTTTGGAACACAAGCTCGTTGTTGCTTCACACTATGTATTTGATCTGTACCTAACCACTCAGGCTGTTATTTCTGAGTCAGTCTCTACAATTTAAAAACAAGTCAACAACTTTGTGAAGCCACAGATAATGACAGAAACCAGCTTACCTACTCTGCTCTCACGTGACTGCACCTCTGCATGTAAGGGCTTGCTGTGTTCGTATTCAATTTACCCCAGATTCTCTTCACGCCTTCTCTGTAATGTTATAGGTCACATAAATCAGAGCTGACCCATATATTCATGAGGTCTAAAAATATAAAGTTGTACTCTAGCTTCTCATTCACCAAATGTCAGTCTTTCTATTTAGGTCTTGGCCTAAAACCTGCACCTATCTATTTCGGACACTGTGACACAGCAACTTTTAACCTAAGTTATTGGGCCAGACCTCAGAGAGTGTCTCACGATCCCATTGAGCTGCAGAAATGTAGGACTTGACCCAGGGCAAATGTCTCAACCCAGAGCAAATGTCACAGCCCCATTGCCTTCCAAACGTTTCCACATACTCTTCTAATTTGTCCATCTTTGGTTGGTTTATTGGGATGATCTGTAATAGACCAACAGAAAGTAGTAGATTAGAAGAACAATGGATTAAAAAAATACTGGAACAAAAGTTAGAGGTAGGGTTAGAGCAGGGTTAACAGTTTTTAAAAGCAAATATTTGAAAAGGGTGAAATGAGTTCAACCATCTTTACCCTCATGCCCTGATATATAATCTAGTGTAACTTATCTCATTTCTACTGATTGGTTCAGTTCTACACAACACTTTGTCCGTTTCCAATGTAAAATTGGCCCATACAACCGACCCGTACCACACCATTCCTGAACTTCCTTTAATTGTAGGTCAATGGATAATGGTACAATAAGGTTAGGGTGGAGCTTCTCCCGTCTCATGCTACAGTCCATTGATAGGGGTACAGAAAAATATTGCTGCTCGTAACAAGCACGAGACATACTACTGAGCCACCGCCACTACGATTGTCATCTGACTGGCCTGATGCCACATCACCTGCCCAGTGAGTCCAAATAGCAGAAGAAATATCCTGAATGAAGCCTCTGTCTACAGGCGTTGTTTTTGCTCAGTTCTTCCCCAGATTTGTCTGCATATCCTATTCAGTTCCTTCCTATTGTTTTGGAACCGCCTCAGAGATGGTGCAAACCGGGTATTGCGTACAAGTGATTGGCAGAACATTGCATTCGTTGGCCGTACAGCGTCAGTCAGACTGGGTAACCCACACCGAACATACCAAGAGATTTCAGAGAAATTAATCCCCTCACGTCCACATGCTGATGAACTGTCAGTGGCGACACTCCCAACTTGGCTAGAACCGAACCAGACATTATCTGGCTGGAGTGAGACTTGACACTCTTGGAGGGGATGTAGTGTCACCGGTGGCATACCACTCAGTGGAAATGAGGAAGATCTGCCTTCAGACTTCAGCATAATGGTAAAAACCTGACTCATCTGTAAAAGCTACAGAGGTTTTTAGAGAAAATAAATGAGCATAAAGCATCATGAAGACCAAAAAACCATTTACAGACCAACCACTTAGTCAGAAGCAGACCAATAGTAACTCTGGAGGAGATGCAGAGATCACCAGCTCAGGTGAGAGTCTGTTGACAGGACAAACATTAGTTTTGTGCAAACAAGGGAAGAGATAAGCCGCTCTTCAAAAAATGCTGGAAGAAGTTCAATTTATATTGAGCAACCAGACCGTTCATCCCGACAGAGACATGATGATAGCATTACTCTTTAGGGAGGCCTTTCCTTGAGAGGGAAGCTGGTGAAAGTTACTGGGGAGAGTTCGCCTTCCAGCAAGACGATGACTCTGATTATTCTTCATTTGTTGCTTTATTTGACAGAGACAATGCACACAATCAGAAAAGAACAAGTCTGTAACTTATGGGTTGCATAAAGAGCAACCAGCTCCTGGTTGGGCATTTCTACGCATTAAAGTGCATAATAAATCAAAATACAGTAAGAAAACACAAGAACATTTCTGCCTGCATATTCATGTGTTTAATCTTACAACCTCCAAATCCATGTAAAAAAGCCCTATATGTTAAAAAGTATGTACAAATTCATAAATCAAATTTATAAAATACTTTTTTTATAAACAACCGTGCAACCTTCTAACTTATATACATGTCCTGGCATATCTTCACACTTTCAGTTAATATATTAAATTGTAAATATAATACTAACTAACTAATAGATACACTCCCACACATACAACCAGAACTGCAGTAGAAAAGCTAAAATCACCGCACATTGATGAGTTAGGATGAATCAGTCAGAGGTCATATATAGTACATAGGTACAAGTCACACTTTTCAGATTTAAGTATAGAAGAAAAAAATTGTTTTTTTTCCTTCCTCTACACTATTATGCCCAATAAATGTGACCAAATGTGGGAGAGTTCAAGGGTTTTTATCTTAATGTGTTAGAAGATGGACCCAAATGAAGCAGGCAAGAAAACATTGAGTGGAGTAAAAGATTTAAAGACAAAAAAAGTAGAAAAAGGGCTCACTAAACTAATAATGAACCACTAAATCCAAAGAACAAAACCCATAAATCCAAGGGAAGGAACAGACGAGAGAATCCAGTGAGGAGTGACTGAGAATGAAGTGCTTCAAGATGGAGAGATTGAATGCAGAACAAAAGACCTGGGCTGATGAGTCAGTTCCAAGTGTGAGCAGGAGAGGGAGAGAGAAAGTCCAAAGGGGAACTACAAATAAATCTAACACTAAAGAACAACTAAACTAAAGTGGTATCGTAAAAAAAGACATAAACATAATGAACTAGAATCACTAAGGAAGTACTGAAGCGGAAACAAGACAGAGCTAATAGAAAACGCACAAAAAAGCCCAAACAGTATTATAGCACTAGATTCTCCAGACAGTCAGATACTCGTCATGAACATCTCAGTGTTCACTCAGCCGCTCCATCTGGTTTTCTTTTTATCTCTGCTCACGTGTTTGCAGAGTCAGGTTGTAACAGAGCTGCCTGATGTGAACACAGTGTGCTGATGATCTGCAGCACATGGGACAAGATATAAAGTAGCCAACAGGCTATTCTAACGTTCTCACTCGCGTTAGTCCTCTTTCCAGGCAGGGGTCTACTGAACTGCAGGAAACATGGCAGTAAAAAATGAGGGGAAGAGGAAATTTGCCGTGTCAGAGGAAGTTTGACGGAGTGAAGGAGCCAGAGAAATAAGGGGAAAGGGCGTGCAGTGAGAGCTGAAGGAAGGAGATGTAAACATGTTTGTGAGATGAGAAGGAAGCAAATATTAAAGTGACATTAACACAATATTGATCTATAAATATATGTGTGTGTTTCCACTAATGTTATCTGAGCCCTGATCCCAAGAAAGGGAGTACGGTTCATGCGTTTAGAGTTGTTCTCTGTTAGATTATGCAGTTATTTCTGTTTGTGGCTTGAAAGGAATTACAGGATTTTAACTTTGAGCTCAAAAATGCATGCAGGCTGGTAATTCCTGTTCTCTCCAGTTCTCTGTATGTTAAACAAGACATCTGGGTCAGGGCTGGAGCTTCAA